AGGCATGTTATGGCTTCCCATGGTTCCTGGCCCCAGAGTACTATGGTGCTTTTTCTACACCTTGCTCACATCTGTGTAAATAGTCCCTTTATTAACTCCCCTCAATAACCCAGCTTGAGGTGTCCTCTGCTTCCTGCTGAGACTCTCTGTGATACATAACTGATCCCATCTGGGGCCCAGGGGGGCTTTGTGCCTGCACTGGCTGGACCTTCACAGGCTCTAGGCTCCTGCTTAGTCCTTAAGAAAAGCAAAGTCCTTTCTAATGAGTCTTCAAAAGGACCTTCAATTAAAGTCCACTATGACCTCACCGTGACAGTTTGTTATCCAATCTCTTTCCTGGATCTTACACCTAGAAAATCTTACATTGCCTTCACACCCTCAGCCCTCCACCCATGGCTTTGTCCCAGAACAACTGCTTTACGAAGTTGCTTCTAAGTTCATGGATCCTTCCAGATTCTTACACATCCCTCTTGTACCTCTGCCCTTTTCTGCCCTCTTCCTAAATACCGTTTTTGCTTCCCTAGCACAGGCCCAGCTCCCATGTCACCTCCTCCTAGCCAGAAGTAGAATTTCCTTTCTTTGAGTGTCGTGGTGCTTGGCTTTTCCTTCTCCGGTGGCACTTGCCAAACTCCACATTGAACTGTATAATTTGTTAAATGCTTGACCTCACTTACAAGATGATAAATCCAAGCTCCCTCTGTACCGAGCATTGTAACCTCCTCAGATCCAAACACAGTGCCTTACAGCTTATCTGTGCTCAAAAGTACGTGTGGAATGGCTGGACGGTTGACAGGTGAACAGAGGACTATTATTTATTGCTTTGCTCTTCCTGCCATGGGGCTCCTCAGCTTTAAGGTCTTTGTCTGGTATTTCTTCACTCTTATTCACCAACTTCATGCTGAGTAAGATTAATATCTTCAAAATTCATTTTTTAGCAACATAAATATCTTCAACCCTTGGCGCACAAAAGAAATGCAATTAATGTATAAACATTTGTATTGACACTCAGAAAGACTTTTAAGTTGGTAAACACAGTAACAGTTTGGGCTCCAATTGCTTGAGAGAATTCAGTTTAATACTCCATAGCTTTTCAGCCAACTGACAAAGAGAAGAACAGATCCAGGTTGGTAGAGAATGTCTTAGCCAAATTGTGGCACTTTAAATGAACTAACGCATTAATTGGTAAATGAGAAAATATTTATCTTGCATGTGTTATGTGCTAACAAGATAGTTTCAGATGCATGATCGTTCTCTCAGTCTCATTCCACATGTTATTTTTCAAATAGATTATGATCGTACCTAGAAAGAATTAGTTCCCTGTTTTGATCATGAAGACAGTGTTGTCATGAGAATTATTGCTTACAAGGATATGATATGGGCAATAGACCTTTTAAAATGAAACATGGCCTCTCATGCATGTGCTAGATATAATTGCAAAAAAAATTAAGAGATGGGATAGTAAGTGGAAAAATTTTAAGTCTCTTTATTTTTTGCCTTTGAAACTATTTTTAAATTAATCCTACAGCTACAAATAGCCTGGCTTTTACAAAATTATCTGAAGCTGACTCTGATGCCTAAATTGGGTCCTCACATGCAGCTACTTTAAAGTTCTGCTAACATTTCCTTCCTACAACCCTTTCCATGGACTTTTTCCCTGGGATAATTTTGGCTGAGCTATACAGTGATAGCCTCTGCTTAGCAGCATTTCTCAACAGTCCTTCAACTTTTGTGCTCCAGTAAGCCTGTCATTTTGTCTTGAGTCTTTCATGGTCATTATGGTCATATGGTCATTATGTAAGTCTGTGGGTATGATATCCTATCCACTCTGTGTCTCAAGCAATTCCTTCAGCTATTTTGCCAAGTTCTCCTTGCAAACTTTTGTCACATACTCTTCAATTACAACATTTGTAAAATCTTTTTTTTTTTTTTAAGAGAGAGAGAGAGAGCAAGTGAGCATGGGGGCAAGTGGGGGAGGGGCAGAGGGAAAGGGAGAGAGAGAATCTTAAGCAGGCTCCATGCTCAGTGCTTTGAACCCAATGTGGGGCTGGATCTCACGACCCTGAGATCATGACCTGAGCTGAAATCAAGTCGGATGCTTAATCAACTGAGCCACCCAGGCACCCAAGTGCAACATTTGGATCTGCCTTCAGGAGAAATACTTGAAGCTAATTCCTTATGTCAGATCCAGAAGGATCCATGGGCTTAAATATTACCTAAATCAACTATGATTTCTAATCAGCTCAGGTATCATGACTATTTCAAATGCCTCTTTGAGTAAATATAGAAGATTGAGACTAGAAAAATGTACTGTTATGAAGCCATTACATTAAATCATCTTACCATTAAAACCATGGCGAGAAAAGCAATGTGATTACAAACTATGAAGTAAAGTCTAATAAAAGCAGAGGAGGGAGGGGGCCATAGTGCTTACTTACCTAGTATCTTCACATAAGTTTCTTAATTTTGACTTTTGATCTCATCATCTTTGCAAAGCAGGTGGCATCTTGCTGATCAGAAAACTATAGTTGAAAGGACTCAAATCTAACTCTTCTGAATTCTTATTAAACAAATCCTTGACCATCATAATTAGATTAGCAATTTTTTCTCATTTGAAAGCATAGGAAATGGATGTTTTAGGAAAGATTTTAATGTAAGTCTCAGCCTGGGTCTTTCATTGTTTGTTTGTTTAGAGTTTGTTTTCTTTTTATCTTGGGATCTCCCTTTGGACCTTCTGTTCCTCCTCTCAGACAGACTGCTGCTCCCTTCGTGACTCAAGAGCACACTGTTAGTAAACACTGAACCCATGGTCCAGGCCAACAGTGTGAGGCTATTCTGCCTCTCTAGGACATACAGCCCAGGAAAGACAGAGCATCTGTCCTACGTGATTTATCCGAGGTAACTGCGGAGTGTAGAGGCCGCACAAAGTAAGTGAGCATCATGTTCATGAGACAATTACATTTGCAAAGAGCTTTACAGTCTATAATACTCTAAATCAGATGATTCCTAAGTAAAGCAAAGCAAAACACTGAAATCATTTTCTTTTCTTTTTTTTTTAAAGATTTTATTTATTTATTTGAGAGAGAGAGAGAGCACAAGTGAGAGCCAGAGGGAGAAGTAGACTCCCCGCTGAGCAGGGAGCCCGGTGCAGGACTTGATCCCAGGACCTTGAGATCATGACCTGAGCCGAAGGTAGACACTTAACTGACTGAGCCACCCAGGCGCCTCTGAAATCATTTTCTCGAAATTGATAGTCAATACTTCTTGAGTTCCTGGTTTCCCTATGCTCTGCTGGGCATGATACTAGCTGCCATGAAGCTTCTCCAAAGATGGGAGACATTTCTCAACACTAAAGTCTCAGATCAAAGATACCCTCAAACGTCCAAGCTCTTTCCTGACCACCTATGTGAGTGTGCACCAACCCCCAGGTCACTCCCTACTTCATTTTCATCATAGTCCTGTCACTATCTAATAATATATTTGATAGTATTTTCAGTTTTTAGCTTTAATTTGGGGTTGATAATAGAACATTCAATTGAATAGACATCAAATGGGGGTACGGGGGAGGCCAAAGTAGCCTTAGTAAAATTTTGTTTATGAAAACTATACGTTTCACTGGAGGGCACATACTGCATGGAGCACTGGGTGTTATACGCAAACAATGAATCATGGAACAGTACACCAAAAACTAATGATGTAATGTATGGTGATTAACATAACATAATAAAATTAAATTAAAAAAAAGAAAACTATACATTTCATACATTTCATCATTCTTATCCCGAAAATGCTGTCAAGGTGGACAAATACTCCTTGTCTAAAATAGTTTTTTGACCTATATTAGAAAAGAGAAGTGGTAGGATAGGAAGAATAGGTTGTGTTTATATGGTCAAACAGGCATGGTCTAAATTTCTAAATGACGGAACACATTTCATTACTTCCAAAGTGCTATGAAAATTGAACATAATATATGTAAGTAAATATTGTCATAATCCCCAGAAATCAGATGCTTACCTATGAATTTGGAGAGTAAATCTTAGGTAGTTGACAAAATGAATGAAATTCTTTAGTTCAACATTATAACTTCTGACTTTTGACATCGTAACACATCTTCTAATTCTATGATTATGTGTGATCATACACACTCCACTTCACTGTAAAATTAAACTTTTCACTCAAAAAATACTTACAGATTCCCTGTATTTGCCAGGCACCATATTAGTTGCCTGGTGATACATCAGTGAACAAAGCAAAGGCCCTCATGGAGCTTTCAGTTCAATGGGAAAGACAGACATGAATTAGATAAACACCAATAACTATCTACTAATGATGCTTGATGTAAAAGAAACATGCCAGTTGCTATGAGAACATATGGCAGGTGAAGCCACTCTGGTCTGAGTTTGGGGAAGTTCTCCCAAAAGAAGCAACATTTGAGTTGACTCATGGAATGATTAGTTGTTGATTGGGCAGAGATGGGCATATGCAGAATGGAGAGGGAGTATGTGCATTCCAGAGTGGAAATAACCATGTCCAAAAGAGTTGGGCTTGCCTTTGCAATGTTGTGTCTTCAGGAAAAATACATCTTTGGGGGGACTGCTTTGACTTTTGCTGCCAAATAGTTAAATATACTTGGTTTGTGATTAGTTATAAAGCTGTGCTTCTAAGCAGTTCATCTGTACAGACTATCCTGAAACAAAAGAGTTAAGCACAGAAAGCTGGATATCTGGATATGCCTTAAAAACTGCTAACCAGATCCTCTTTTTGTGAACTATATTCCTTTTGAAAATCTCAGTGAGGGCTTTCAACAGGTTCCCATTATCATATCTAAATTGTGCATTCCTTTAGGGACAAAGGGGGAAAGGTTAACCAAATTCATAATTTATTAGCACACTTTCCAAATATGCCTACTGGGTTCTCATTCATTGTACAATTCTGACTTTTGATCGCTTGCCAAATAAATAATGTGGAAATAAATGGTTTGATCATTCTCTTACCTTCAACAGTTGTAAATCAAGATGGCCAGCCTCTCATAGAAGGAAAACTTAAAGAGAAGCAAGTCAGATGGAAGTTCATCAAAAGGTGGAAAACTCGTTATTTTACGCTGGCTGGAAATCAACTTCTGTTTCAAAAAGGAAAGTCGGTAAGTTTCCCCCTTGTCTTTTACACTTGTATTTTTAAGGTCTTGATCTACATCAACCAGGTAGGCATTTTGTCCTGAGTTAAAAGGCCAATAATTTGTCCTTTTCCATTAATAATTTCACAGTCTCATTTTTTTTTTGCATATGTCCCTTGGACTGTCTATTCTGTTCAGTCCTATGTTAGTTGGTTTACTGTCTCTCTTCAGTTTATTACGCGAGATCTTTTTTAAAGTTGACTTAAGTTTAGAAGATGAACTGCCAAAGGACTACCCAGTGAGCTTGATTTGAACCGTGTGCCTTTTGTTCCCTCATAGATCACCTACATAAATTAATAGCTTATGATATTGACCCTGACTTCCTTTATAACTAAAGGTTATATTTAGGGACCCAGGGAAGAGAGACAGCAGGCTGGGAGAAAGAAACAAAGCTGATTTATTTTAAGTACTTTTTATAGTCAACTAAGTTCAGTGCTGGTTAGGGAAAACCATTATCATCTTGCAGTCATTTAATACTCAGTTAAATAGAACAGGATTCTAAGAGAATTAATAAATATTCATTTAATGTAATTTTCAATCTGAACTAGGATGCTCAGTAAATATCTGTACTCTGAAATTTCAGTGAGAAACTTCTGAAATAGCATTTTATTCCAATCAGCAATGCAAAGTTATTCCTCTCTTTTCAAGTCAGTTTTATTTATCATTAAATTCTATTCATTCAGGATCAGGGAGAAAGAAATCTTGACCTACCTCTTGGATATTTTGAATATAATAATAATAGCTTATCACATGCCTCCCTGGATTGCCTTAAAGAATCCTCAAAACAGTCCTTTGAGGTCAGCACTATTGTTCTTGTCATGTTACATATGGGTAAATCTGGGGTGCCTTTCCCTCCCTCTCTCCCTCCCTGCCAGCGGATGGAAGCATATTCCTCTGGGCTGGGTGATCTTGGTGGCCTTCTGCACAGTGCACAGGCCCTGAGAGCTGGTGTCTTTCCCAGGATGGGCAGGCACCAGGTTAGATCTGACAGAAAGAAAGCCTTGTGGAATCTGACTTGAGTGGGAAGTGGGGGCACTTTCGGCCTTTATCTTGCCTGCCAGGCAAGCCAGGAAGAGCAAGACCCTGGCCTTTGGATTTCTGTCTTGTCCCACTCTTACAGGTATTATTTGAGCCCTAGAATCAGAGTGATGGGGAAATATGTGCATATGTACACATGGTCATCCATCCACTCCTGTGGAAAGATGCCCAGAGAACACACATACAACAACCCTGCTGATGCCTTTACACCCACTGTGCCCCACTCATGGACTTTGGGACCCAGGGTCTGTCAGTCATCACCAGGAGTTGGCCTTGGTCCTAATCAAAGATATCTGGGAAATACAAAGGAACTAAAGGTTCTGACAAGTCCTGCAGGAAAGAGCCCACTTAATTTTGTTTAACTACTATATCTCAAACTTGTTCCACCATATGGTACTTTTACATCATACAACATTAGACCCTCCCCACTCCCTTCCCCTTGTGAGAGAGAGAGAGACAGAGACAGAGAGACAGAGACTTTGATTGGCTTGACCAAAGATAGAGCCAGTAAGGTTAAAGGGGATAAAACTGGAGTTGGGCACAGGCGGTGTGACATCAAAGCTTGTTGTTAAATGAGTGTACTGTCCTGCTTCCCATGAACACTTAAAATACAGAGCCAGTGGCAAACCAAACTGTGTTTGAATGAATTAACGAAAGATTTTAAATTATTTAAAAATTACAAGTCACTAAGAACATATGCACTATATCTGTAGAGTACTCGTTATAAAATTTATTTGAACTTTTTACTTAACAGGAATAAAGTATGGTATATCCGAATTATGACAAATTTTGATGAACGCTTTTTTAATTAGTAAAACATCATGTTAACTTTTTGAATGAAAAAAAAGCCCTAAGCTCACGCTACTTTCTTCATCTGCATGTATTATTAAATATACAGACGGACTTTTCCATGGCTGAAGATCTTTTTGAGAGGGAAGCATAATGGTGTACTCAATTCAGACAGTTATTGGAGGTTTAAAGAAACTTTCCTTAGCATAGCTCCACACTGAAGTATTTTTAAAGTGTTTAAAATGACCATCCGAATTTCCTGTTTTTATTAAAGAAATCAGAAGTTAAGATGCTATGATTTCTCGGATCCCTTGAGACAGAGCGGAGTTAGTGCATAGGAATATTTTTCCTGAACTCAAATAATGACCTTTATACTTCTTAATTTTAATAAAGCTTAGAGTAAGCTATTTTATAATTGGCTAAATTGTTTGATATCTTTATAGGGAAATAATGGTTTCACATTTCAGAAATCTGACAGAACATGTGGCTCAAATATTGAGAAATAATATAATGTACTATAAGGACCACAGCAAATTCCCTCTCATCCCCAGGGACACAGTAACCTAGCAGGGGTCACCAGTCCAGCTGAAGCTTCAGCCCCTTTCTTGTAAATGAGAAAAATGTGCGTTTTTAATAAGGACTGAAAGACTATAGTGTTATTTTTTTGCTTTCACATTTGTAAGGTTTTTATCTCTACCAACCAGCTAGGCAATGGTGCCCTTTGACTTCCTGTCAACTTCTCTTGGGTAATTCACTGTCCCTCTTTAGAGAACTATGGTAACTTTTTGTTTTCTTGATCAGTTCCTCCATGTATCAATTTCTGTTCTATAGACTAATTCAAAGAAATACAATCTTATTACTGTCAGATATTTACCATAAACCAAATTAAGCTAGCAAATTATTATCTAGTGCAGGTATCTTCAAACTTTATTCTGTCTATTCCTTAAAAGAATTTTGAAAATCAGTGTAATACCTTGCAGCATTTTAAGTTTATCATAAGTTTAAACAGTCCACAAACTGTAATTTCTGTTGAATTGAAAATATTATCATTTTAAAATAAAAAGTTCACACCTCTCCTTTAAGTATAACCGTTGGAATAAGATACCGTAGCAATTTGACACCTAACACCATCCATTAAAGAAATACATAAATTAGTTCATCTTTATTTTTTTTTACTATGTTGTTAGCCAGCACATAGTACTTCATTAGTTTTTGATGTAGTGTTCAGTGATTCATTAGCTGCATATAACACCCAGTGCTTATCACAACACATGCCCTACTTAATACCCATCACAATGTTTACATGGTATCATTTTTCTTTGAAATCATACTGTTTTCTACCAGTCCCACAGCATTTTATCCTGATCGCCCAATCATTTTTTTACTGCAATAAAACTATGTATATAAATTGAAATTTAATTATTTTAATATTTTGTGACTATCAGTCTCTAAATGTTAGATATTTTATTACTATATTTTTAAAATTATATCATTTATGAAAAGTCATAAGTATAACACCAAATGTAATAAATAGTTACTAAACACTAAAAAGTGAAATGCTATTGGAAATGCATCTCTTAATGAAATAGCTGAGGAGTGACTGTGTTGCTTTGTTTGAAGGACACTTCCCTAGCATCAGTATTTTGAGTTGTTTTTTTCATTTGTTTGATCCTCCTGAGATTTTTCCAAGTTGGATGATACACCATGGTAACTTTGGGATGAGTGAAAAGGGTGCCTTTCCATTGCAGAGTGAAAGAAGGGTGGGTCGTGTAGGGGAGATGGAAAAGGAGAGTTGGCAAGATCCTCAAGCACAGGCACATCCTCCAGTAGACAAAAGAATTCAGGGATGTTAAAGAAATTGCTGTAAAGAAGTATTTGATCTTTTGAAACTATTCATACTAGCCCATTGGGATGACCCTCATGTTGCATTGGTGATCTGTAAGCCTCTGTTTTGATGCCAGAAAAATGTAAATCATTAAGTATTCTTTCACTTAATGTTTGTAGACAAATCATACTTCCAAAGCGCCAGTGTGTTTCAAAAACAGTTTGATCTGCTTAAACATTAGGACCCTGTTTACTCAATTAATACACCCCTCTCAGAGATAACACGAAGGAAAATTCAATTTCATGCTTCCCAAATTATTTCAGATCCTGAGTTAAGAGTACTCCAATTGTACTATTGCATTTTGCTCTATTGATACAGTGTTGATATCAATCAAACATGACATAAAATCAAAGAAATATCAATTAAACATTCTCCCAAATCCCACCTAATAATAATTTCTTATAAATTGGCCATCTTGTGCCAACTTAATATACTGTAACATAGGGCCAATTGCTCACTCCCTCCATTGTTCTAATGAATGACTCACTGAGGCCTTAGCATTCAAAATAACAAAAGTTATGAACCATATGCAGTGAAAGGATTCTGATCCTCTTGGAAAATTCTCCAGTTGCCAGAGATCTTTTCATGCTCTCTCCATGCTCAGCTCATGTTCTCTCCTTCCCATATGCATTTCAGAAAGATGATCCTGATGACTCCCCAATAGAACTCAGCAAAGTACAGAGTGTGAAAGTTGTGGCCAGAAAACGCAGGGACCGCTCCCTCCCTCGAGCTTTTGAAATCTTCACAGACAATAAAACCTATGTTTTCAAGGCCAAGGATGAGAAGAATGCAGAAGAGTGGCTCCAGTGCATCAATGTGGCAGTTGCCCAAGCAAAAGAGAGGGAAAGTAGAGAAGTAACCACATATCTGTAGGGATTTGCAAGCCGACCTCACACTGACTGTATACAATGGGCATTGCATTATCATTGCCAATGTCAAGAAAAAGAGATAAATTCACCAAGTCACATTGTGTTTTTCTAAATACCAGTGGAACTGTTTTCCCTAAGAAGCAGGACCTAAAAGTGGCAGGATTTTTATGCATCTCATATTCTAATGGCGCCTGCATTAACTCCAGAACATCTGTGTGATGCATACAGGAAAAGGAGCTACAGATGGTATGGGGCAGAAAGGGGAGAGTGAGCGATCTAGGAACCTCTGTAGCTATGCCATTGTACGTTGTAAGAACACAACTTTACAAGATACCTGAAATACCTATCCTGGGGAAAGATTAAGCACTTCTGATGAAAACCACAGTCTGCCAAAAGTATTAGAAGAAAAAAAAAAAGCCCTATCGGGAAAAGTCAAAATTATTGACCCTGAGGGAAAACATATAACTAACTTATATAGACGTACAACTGTCTTCTTTCTCTCTAATGCAAATGAGGCGAACACATGGTAAAATGGTCCTCAAGTGAAGATAGTTATATAATTAAATGTCTGTCTTTCAGAACAACTTATCTGATTATTCCATTTAGGCTCATATAATATGATCTAAAGTGTAGGTTCTTGGATATATCTCCTGCCCAAGGTGGTAAGTGTAAGCTAGGATAGACATTGAAACCATTTTCACCATCTTCAAAATATGGGTCATTTCCATTAAACTTTGAGATGTTAAAGTTCTATACCTTTCTTCTTTATATTCAGTCTTTTAATATCTCAAAATTACATTTAATGGATTTTCCCATAACTCATATTTAAAAAAAAGTTAAGCTGTGGCAGGCAGAATTACAGAATGATTCCCAATGGCCTACACCCTGACCCTCCCCTTGAGTGTGGTGGGACTTATAATTTGCTTCTAACTAATAGAATATGGCAGAAAGAATAGGATAGTGTCTCCCATGATTATGTTACATTACATGGCAAAGGTGAAGAGATTTCTGGTTCTTAATCAGGTGACTTTGAGCAAGTCAAAAGGATATGACCCTGGGTGGGCCTGACCTCATCAGACAAGCCCTTTAAAAAAGAGTGAACAAGTCAGAGACTCTCTCTTCCACTGGCCTCGAAAAAGCAAGCTGCCACGAGTTCTACAGCTTCAAGGGAATGAATTTTGCCAACAACCAGTGAGCTTGGAAGAGGATCCCAGCCCCAGCCAACACCTTGATTGCACCTTTGTGAAACCCTGGGCAGAGGACCCAGCTAAGCTGTGCTTGGACGTCTGACCTAGGGGAACGTTGAGATAATAAATATGTGCTGTTTAAAGCCGCCACATGTGTCAAAATTTGTTTCGTAGCAATAGATAATACAAACACTAACTTGGTATACATATAAAGGGTCATTTTTTTCTTTAAAATTTATTGACCATATAGTCTAGTATAGAAAACTGGAAAAAAAATCTAAGTAGTCAGTATTCTTTTTTTTTTTTTTAAGATTTTATTTATTTATTTGACAGAGAGCGAGACAGCAAGAGACGGGGAGTGGGAGAGAGAGAAGCAGGCTTCCTGCTGAGCAGGGAGCCCGGTGTGGAGCTTGATCCAGAACCCTGGGATCATGACCTGAGCTGAAGGCAGATGCTTAACGACTGAGCCACCCAGGAGCCCCAGTAGTCAATATTCTTAATTCTACCTTGACTCTACTGCCAACTCACTAGGATAGGAAATATATAAGAGGCCAAGTTTGAGTAGAGAAACAATTGAATTTTAACATGTAAACTTTGAGGGTATTATGGGTCACAAAATTTATTACAAGTTGGAAACAGTTCTGAAGATCAAGATTTTGTCTCACTGGATATATAGATGGTCACTAAAGATATGGAACTAGCTGAAGTTACTCAGGGAGAAGAAGACAAAAGAACAAATAAGGGCTTCCTTGGGATACCCAACATTTAAACAATGGGCTGCTGGATTGGCTGGTCAGTGTTCAGAGATGTTATAGACCAGGGGAAACAATGTCACAAACACCAAAAATAAGGTTTAGGAAGAAGGGAGAGATTAACAACATAAAACCCTGGAGTAATCACTTGAGATAAAGAGTGACTTTGGCAGTTAGGAAGCAATTTCTATTGTATCATTGGTAGGAACAATTTCATCAGAATGATGAAGTAAAAGTCAAATTTCAGTGGGTTGAAGAATCAACAGGAGGTTAGGAGTTTAAAGCAATAATTGGACAATATTTTTAAAAAACTGGGGCTAAGATACAGAAAGTGTTTTTGTTGTTTGTTTTAAAGATGTGTTAGACTTAAGGGGGAAGAGTCTAACATACAGAAAGAAAGAAGAAAAATAACTTTGCTTGAGCACAGTTTCTAGAAGTGATGGAAAAGGATTAAAATTCATGCCACAGCAATTTACGGAACAGCGCAGCAAGTAACAGGTCCCATGTTTGGCCTGGAGATACAAAAATAAAAGACCCAGCTCCTCCCCTAAAAGAGTTTACAGGGTAGTGGAGGAGACAATCATGTGAAACAAAAATTGAAATGCTAAGAGGCAAGTGCCTGGATAGAGTTTTGCCCAGGGGCCTGTGGAAATGCAGGAGAAGACACCACTGTCATTAACTTGGAACTCAAAGCATGGGCTCCCTCACTGTTTCTCAGAGCTGTTAGAGAAGGGACTTGTCCTAAAGAACTAAGTAAGACGGTCGTGGGCAGATGAGGAGAAGATGGCCAGTCGAGGGAACCATGCTGCAAAAGCACAGGCTGGAAAGGGAACAAAACCTGGTCCATTTGCAAAACAGCAAGTCCTTCTGTAGGATTGGAACATAAAGGGGCTGTTGAGGAATGGTGCAGAATGATGCCCGAGAGGTTTACGGGGCCACAGCATAAAGGGCTTGGTTCTATGCTAAGGATCTTGAACTTTTTTCTTAAGATGATGAAGCACCTTTAAAGGTTTTAAGATTTGCATTTAGAGAAATAATTTTGATAGTGGTATAGAGAATGGATTGTATGGATATAAAAAATCATATCAGGGAGATCATTTGGGAGGTTCTTGGAAGTAGTGAGGTCTACTAGTAGCAGAGGAGATAGAGGGGGATGGAAATGCAGGAAAAACATTGAATTAGTAAAACAGATTGAACACTGGTGGATTGGATGGAGCCTAGGTATAGGAATGGGAAGGAGAGTGTCTCTGATGATCCCTGGGTGCTTTCTTGGGAAGCTTGATGCATGATGGTAGCATTTACTGAGAGAAAATTCTAAAGCAACAGTTTAAGAGGTGAGCCAAATGGTAAATTCAATTTCAGTGTATACATTTAGAGTATAGATTGGTGATTCATCTTGGACTAGAGAGACATCTCCTCCTATGAAGTCAGGCAGGAAAAGGCAAGAATAGGTACAGTTGTAAATGAGTCTTTAAATATTGTTTTGAAATCTAGCAGCCCATTCTTAAGAGTCACTTGAGTAACCCTAGCTGTTAATTAGAAAAAACTGGTAACAGACAAATAGAATATTAAATGACACTGCATTAGTTATCAATCATTTAAATGCCAACAATGTGCTGAAATCTTTCATAGCAGAGAGATTACAGTAAAACTCAACCTGGTTGTATACCAATTCTGTTTTCACTGAATGCTTGTCCTAAGAAAGAAGAGAATGGCCCTACTAGCTCAATTTGGAAGAAATGAATTATTTTTGTTACTTGTTACAAAGTCCTTGTGATTTAATTAACTGGATGCCTCTAGTTTAGAATGCCACTCTCAGAGCCTTTGAACCAAATCTAAAAAGAAATGAATGTATGAAGTGTGAATATGACTTTTCCGGTTTCATTCCCTGAGGTAGTAGTCATTCCAAACGCAAGCAAATTCTCCTGGGTTTAGAATCACACAAGAATCTCAGACTCATCAGCTACCCCCTGACATTTCTGGCACTTCCATCCCTGTTGCCAGCTAGCTTACCACAGACTGGCCTTTTCCAAGAGGACTGCAGTTCCTGATCCTGATCTAAGAAGAAACCACTTTTCTAAACATGTTTAAACCTTTAAAAATGTTGGGATGAATACAATTATAATCATGGTTAGAAATTCAAGTGGTTTTCATTTTTATTTTGTTTTGGTTCTTTTTTCCCCTCTCAGAGAGCCATGGAAACAAACGTTTATATGTGAGACTCTCATCTGGTTATTTCTTGAGAACCTGGAGTTTGGTAAAAATAAAAGTTCAGTACTTTTCTAACAGGAGTTTTCTGGAAAATCCTTGGCTGTTGATGTTGAGAGATATATATTGGGTTATCTTCAATCCACCTACTTTCTGTCAGCACTTTTGGGCCTATTATTGTAACTTTATTCTCAGGCATAAATAAAGAGCACCCAGTTGAAAAACTACCTTTGAGAGATTTATCTTTAAATTTAAAGGTAAATTTACATTTACAAATTGCCTTTAGGAAACCATTGCAAGATGAGGTAAGAGAAGATGTGAGAGGATTTCATGGTACATTGCAGAAAAGTCCACACCAGAAGTACCCTAGTCAAGATTTTAAATCCTAGCCTTAAAAGCCCAAGCCATGATTCCCAGTCCCAAAATCTAAGTTTTTAGATGAAAAACCAAGAAAAACCCAAAATGTCATCTTGTTCCAGAATAGCTCAAGTTTATAGGTTTCTTGAGACCATTCTTCCCCAAAGGTACTTCTGAAGGACAGAGGAGCTGGAAAGTTGGGATGATTTCTACCAAGGCAGTGAAGGTTAGAGAAGGTGGCACAGGCACTGGTCATGAGCACATGAGGATTCAAGTCCTAGCTCTACCAAAGCTAGATGAGCAACCTGAGTAAATGACTCATCTTTTATCTCTAAGTTGGGGATAATGATGTTGATGGAGCAGAATTAGTGTGGGGCTTAAATGTCAAGTAAAAGCATCCAGCAGAGAATCTTTAATTGAACAGGTACTTGATGGCACACCATTTCTTACACAACACCAAAGGAGGGAAAAATCTGACAAATGAAATTATGATGCCATGTCTTAATAATAGTCTAACCAGTGGTGTTTTACTTCCAAATGTCTTTTATCTATTCTGAGAGTTTGGGCAGTTTCTTCTGACTTTGGGTACCTTGAGTGATGTGTGATAGGTAATTCTTTTGTATCTATTTCAGCAACAAAATGAAACCCAGCCTTCTCTACATGTTGGTATCTTCCTTCATTAGGTAAAACATTCAGTGGCTGCTTTGCAAGACATATG